CTGCGGGGCGTCTGCTTCCCACCCCACGGACCATGATGCTCCCGGGGGCCTGCCTGCAGCTGGGGGAAGGGGTTTTAATGCCGCGTGTGTGAACAGGGTCCCAGGGGTGACTTCCAGATGTGGTTGCAAATCTGGGCTGCGTTTAGCCCAAGGGTAGATGTGGTCCCGTGTTGTCTGGGTTGACTCCCTTGGTCAGGTTGGTGCTTCTCCAGAGCCCACTATGGTGCTGGGATTTTGCCCGCCACAGGCAGGGTGTGAGCAACAGCCCCAAACAAAGTCAAGGAGCTGAATGGGAATGTGCAGGAGGAAACATCCAGCGGCAGGGCAGGGATTAGCAGAGCCACCGTGGAACCTGTGAGGGTTCAGCTGGTGTGAAAAACCTTCGGTTTCTGGAGCGGGAGCAAGGAGCCAGGAGCCCCCTGTTTGGCAGAGGGACTGGGATGCAGGGGATGTTTGCAATTAGCTTTCCCTGCGTGATGAATCTGCACGGGGCCTTGGAGAGCGTGAACAAGTGAATGCAGGAGGCAGCGTGAATGCTGTGGTGGCAGCTTGGCTGGTACCATGCTCTTCAACCTCACATCCCTGCAGGTACGAGGACCTGAAGTCACTTGCTGAAGGCCTGAAGGCTGAGGCTGATGGGTTGGCCTCCGAGGCAGACAAGGCTTATCAGGGCAGCCTGGTGCTCCTCAACTCCCTGTCCCGCCTGATGAAGACCGACATCGGGTCCTTTGAGGTGAGGGCTTTGTGCCTGTGGGACCAGGAGGTTCCCCTTTTGCTCTCTCCTACACCCTCCTTGCTACCCTGCCAGCAGCTCAGCCCTTCCCAGGGCTCCGTCCTTGTTGGGAAGCCGTTGGATATGCGTCTTCCCACCCAACCGTAGCTGGCCACGGCACAAGGACCAAGAGACAAGCATCTGTCACTGCTCGCCATAGTTCCTGGTGAGCACCAGGGAGATGCTGGGACCTCCAGGGAGTCATCGAGTCTCTGTGTTTCAGGGGGAAGCAACCCGGTTGGAGCAGGACAGCAGCGCTCTCCTGAGCGTGGTGGACACCTACATGGCACAGTACAGGCAGCTGCAGAGCCGTACGGGGCGCTGGGAGGAAGAAATCAAGCAGCTGCTGCGAAGGGGAGAGGGCGAGAGAGCGGTAAGGGGTTGACTGGGGGGGCTGTGGCTTGAGTCGTCTTCGGCATGAGCTGGAGCCTTGGTGGGATGCCCGTGGTACCACCGCTACTCCGTGCCGTCCAAAGGGGATGCAGCCCTGCCTGCTGCTACCCTTCCTCAGAAATGCCACCGCTTGGGCTTGGTCTTCCGGAGCCGGTGGGAGACCTCACCGTGTGCACAGAGCTGCTGGGGCAGGGTCTGACCTACGTGTCTCCTTCATACCGGGCAGGCTGAAGACCTGCTCCTGGAGAGATTAGAGCTATGATGACGCAAGATGGCTGGAGCTGGTTGAGGAGCAGCGGTGCAAGCCTCTGCCGACTGATCAGGCTGTGGTAGCTTTGATTCAGGGGCAACAGCGGCCATTTGGGAACAGGCTGATGGGTCTTCTCTTCCCCAGTGCGACTCCTTGCAGGCTGCTCTGGGACCATCCGATGTTCCCGTACCGTGTCCTTCATCTGCCCGTTGTGTCCCTTTGGCCCCTCACAGACGCTGACGCAGCTGCTGTCCCGAGCCAACCTCGCCAGGAGCACAGCCCTGCAAGCCATGAGCGCTGGCAACGCCACCTTCTACGAGGTGGAACAGATCCTGAAGAGCCTCCGGGGTAATGTCCTAAAAACCCTTCCTCTCCCCTCCCTTGTGGGAGCTCGCAAAGGCAGCGCGGTTTCATTTCCACATCTGTTTCTTTCAGAGTTTAACCTGCAAGCAGATGACAAGAGAAGGGAAGCCGAAGATGCCATGAGGAGGCTACCGATTATCAGCAGCATGGTGGCAAGTGCCAGGGAGAAAACGGACCGAGCTGAAACCACCCTGGGCAGCGCCGCTTCCGAATCCAAGGCGGCCAGCAGCACGGCGGGTGAAGCGAAGGAGATCACCGTGGGGATCCAGCAGGTGAGGACGGGCTCCGGTGCTACTGCTGGCAGAAAAGGTTTGGAAGGGAAAGCCATGGATGAAGAGATGATTGGTAACTTTGTGGTGGTCCAAACGCGTTGACTTTTGGACTGGATGCGTTGACTTTTGGGCTGACGTTTGCCTACAGTGGATCCTGTAGATATCTGAGTTGGCTGTAGATGAGCGGGGGTATGTGGATCTCTGCAGGCCCATTTGTCCCGTGGGGAATCTCTCTGGCATCTCTCTGTAGCCACCCTTTGGTGACCAAGGGGCTTTTTCTCTTTCCACGGTCTGAGTCACTGGCAGGCTTGTGAGCTCCCAGAACTGGTGTCGGTGGGTTTGACTCCCAGATGCACGTTGTCATTCCCTAGGGATTTGCTGATGTGTGCAGGAGGGGTTGAGCAATGGCCATAGAAACAACTCTCTGGAGCAACTGGTGGGACAATATGAAGGACGCAGGACAGCCTGCGATAATTTTAGGTCCCTGTAGAAGGAACCAATTTCATTCAGCTCCACACCCTGGTGCACCCCGACTGATTTTGGCCGTGCTCTGCTCCTCTGAAAGTGCATTCGCCTTCCCTAGGAGATTACGCGGCTGAAGGTGGAAGCCAACAAGACAGCCGATGGTGTCCTTGTCCTGGAGAAAGCAGTGGCCACCCTGCAGCGCGAGGCCAAGGAAGTGGATGGTGAATTTGAGAGGAAGCTTTTGGAGGTTGAGGCAGATGCTGCTGTGATACAGGAGGTGGGTCCCTGTCTCCCTCGGCTTGCCCCCTTCCTTGTTCCCTTTTGGGCTAGACTTCACCTCACAGCTCCTGCCTTGTCGTCTTCAGACAGCTCAGGAAGCTCAGAGGGTCCATGGCAAGGCTGGCCAGGCAGGGGTGATCGTGCAGGAGACGTTGAGCGCCCTGGAAGAGCTGCTGCGTCTAATGAGTAGGTTTTGCAACATTGCTGTAGGGTGCGGATGGAGACAGGTTCCCGCTGGTGTCTGGGCAGGGGTGCTGGGGGTTCGGTGGGAAGCTGCCTCAGATGATGCCTGTGGATGGGCTGGGCTGCAGGATGAAGTATCTAGAAAGATCTAGTCCTCAACCTCCATCCATGGTTCCTTCTTCCTTGTTCTCCTGCTGTGCAACAGACCAGCCTGGTGCCGTGGATCAAGATGGCCTGAAGCAACTTGAGATGAATTTTAGCAAAGCCAAAACGAGAAGCAGCCAGCTGAAGGATGAGATGTCGGAGCTGGAGCAGACAGTCGCGCTGCAGAAGGCCCGGGTGCGGACGCTGGAGAGCAGCATTGACGAGATCCTGGCGGATATTAAGAACCTGGAGGATATCCAGAGGAATCTTCCTCCAGGCTGCTACAACACGAAAGCCATTGAGTTGCCGTGAGCGAGCTCTGGAAAGGCTGCGGCCCCTGCCAGGCTGAAGGCAGGAGAGCCTGACCCAGCTGCCCTCCCCAAAACTGGCAGGACTGGCTGCGTTTGCTTGTGTTGAACTGATCCTTACCCTCCAGTTCAGCGTGACGACCGAAGTTCGCATCGTCATGCTGGCCTTGGAGAGTCCTTGATTTTTCAAAGTGGTCCGTCCCTCGGTCATGGGAGGAGGAAGACACGTGGTTGCGTGAAGGTGCTGCTGGCTGAAGAACAGCCCGTTCCTATGACATTGCTCTGGGGTGCAGGTGGGGGCTGCTTGGTGTCAGCCTTGGGAATTTGCACGGTTCAGAGCCTGACGTTCATGGCTTAGAGGTTCTCCACCCGCTGTGGATCCTTTCCTGGCCTGGCACACAGAGAAGGACCAGAGTCTCTCTCCTTACTTTTGACACTGCCACCATCACCTCCTCCTCGTGTTCTCCCAGGGGTCTTCCTCTCCTTCGGTAGCTCGGGAGGCAGGGAGCGAGCAGCTTGAAGAGGCAGCTGGGGGAGATGAGTTTTGAGCCGTGGCACCGACGATGCTTCACGTGGCTTCCTCCTCCCAGCCTGCCCATTCCTCACCTTGCTGGGGGCGGTGCTGGCAGTGGTTTTGCTGTGGCTTAGAGAGATGGCATCAGATGCCGCTGACAACCCTTTTCATAAAGCCGCAGGTCCTTCCGTGGTGCTTCTCAGTGAGGTGGTTACCGTTTTGATAAAGGAGGGGGGAAAGAGAAAAAGAAAAAAGCTGCCAGCTGCCTTTGAGGTCACGGTGATGTGCTGGAGGGAGGAAGAGGGGGATCCCAGGCTAGCAGGGAGAACTGCTGGGGCTCCTGAAGTGGAAAGTCTTTCCTGCTCCACCTGCTCCCTTCAGCCAGGAGGAGAGGGTCCCCTTTCTTTCTCCCACTCTTCTTCTCAAGTCCCAAAGCCCCTGAGGGATGGCTTTCTTGTCAAAGCTCCCCCTGGGCAAGCACAGGTCTCCATACCATCCCCTTACCTGTTCAAGCACGACCTTTCCTTCCAAGACCGGTCACTTTTGGTGCCAGCCAGCTTTCTTGAGTGTCCCAGAGCCCAGGAGAAGCCAGGTGGTGTCCCCTCTGCACAAGCACCCCGGACCCTGTGGTACTTGTCACGGGAACGGGGGCTTTCTCCAGGGGTCTGCGGCCCCAAGCTCTCATCTCTGAGAGCCCGGTCCCCTTCGGCTGGAGTGCCAGCACCCCGATTTGATCAGTTTAAAAATATTGACGATGTCTTGAATGTGTCTCTGCCTCTGATTTGGTGCTGCCCGTTATCCCTCCCTCCCTCCTTCCCTCCTGCATGGTGCTGGATGTTTCTGAGAGGCTCAAGTAATTGTCTGCAGAGGTTTCCCACTCTACGTCCGAGCAGAGCTTGGAGGAGCTGAAGACCCCAGGGCTCCCTTCGCCCACCCGCAGCTCTCCTGTGGGTCCCAGCTCCCTTCTGACACCGCTCCCAGCCTCCTTTGGGTGCCCGTTTTGGGCGGAAAAAAGAGCTAGCAGATGCTGGAAGTGAACCCTGCTGAATCCCCTGACCTGCGTGGTGGTGACAAAGGAGGTCCTGGATGGAGGAGGCGGCTTTGGGGGACTCACCCCTCGTTAGCTGTGATTCTCTGATAAAGCAGCACCCGTGCTTTTGCTTTATAAGGATATACCAAGGACTACGTCTGCCTTACACCTTTATTTAAGCGAGATGTATTGCCTCTGGCATGTCTTCCTTCTCCCCTTCTACAGCATAGGGACAGCTATTATGGACCTGACTTTATTTTTCCATCAGCTGTGTTGTTGGAAAAGGAGGAGGTCAATAAAGACTGAATACTTTTGGATGGATCTTGCCTACTGGTTTCTTTTCTCTGGCTCCCTGGTTTGGGTGAGTTTGGCCAGCGGTTCCCCCAGCAGTGCGGCCGCTTGCTCTCTTCGTGCTGACTTGGGCTTGGGGCTGTTTGGAAATGACACCAGTAACATCTCTGTTTTGTTTTGTTTATTACATAATTTAAACATTTTGCTGATAAAGTTTTTTTTTTGTCAATGACCATTTTTTTCATATAGCAACAGAACTACAAAAAAAAAATTAGGCTCCAAAACTTGATAAAGGTGAAATCAGTGGCATGACAACTTCAACCCCTTTCCCTCCCCCCATTTTTTCTTTTTTTCCAGAAGACGTTTGAAGTTCATTTCTCTTTCAGCAAATTGCACTGTTTAAAAGTGGAGGTTCAAAGACCAAAACCCACGAGCTTCTTCCCACCCCTCCCCTGAACCCTGGAAACCCTGGTCCTCACCTCCCCACCGGTCACATGGATCTTCAGGGATGATTATTATAATTTTTTTTTTCTCCCCATACCCACCCAAAGACATTTTCCAAACCAGTCCCAGAGCTGAACGACCTGTTACAACCCCCCCGTCCCACCCCCCGGTACTGTGAGTGTTACTGAGCAGATACACGAAGGCGCAGGTAAGACAGAAGATACTCATCATCCGTACCACAACGCTACATCCCTAAGGCATGCCGTCCTAACCGCCATGGGATGGGGAGCCGGCTGGCTTCCACTGCCTCCCATCTCGCGTACCGGAGGGAGGGAGGGAGGGAGGACCCGAGCTGTCGGTACGTCGCCTGCCTGCCTTCTCCATCTCCTTTCTTTTATTCCCCTGTGTCTTTTCTTCAGTTAAAACCCACCGTCCTTCCTCCCCGTCAACGAGGCATCGCTCCCCCAGGAGGTTAAAATCTCTCTGTGTGTGTTTTGGAGGCTGGTTGCTACCATTCCTTCTTCTCCTCTGGCTTGGAGCTAAGAAACACAGGTGATGTCTGGTAAGGAGAGGAACCTGCCATCTGAAACAATTTCTGTGTTGGGGTGGAAAAGCTGAACACGTGAGAACAGTTGGAGAGAAGTCCAGCTTATGTAGGTTGGGTGTCTCATGGATGAGATGTCCCACCACGGGCGTCCGCCCATCGTGTTAGCTAAGGGAACTCGGTAGAGCGTTGGTGAGCAGCTGGAACTGGCTGAAGACCTCTCTGGAGAAGAGATGTCCCTGCACACCGGGTACCACACGCTCTCACCACCCTCTCTGCTTTGGCATCTCCGTATCTCCTCACCCCATGGGATATGGGTGCAACCGCCTGGAGATGCCAGAGCTGGCACTGAGGGATTCAGCTGCCAAATGTACGTCAGTTCCCGAACAAGCCTCTCCATGCGAAGGGAAATCCCTGGCAAGGAAAGACCTCTTCTGGCCTTTGGGCAAGTCACATCACTTCTGTCTCTCTCCCTTTCCCTTCTGGGAAGGGCTCTGCCCTTCTCGAGAAGTTGTTAGCTACTGCTCGTAAAAACCCTGCCCGCTGCAAGGAGCCTGTGGCCGTAGGCTACCTCGTTTTGTCCAAAGTTGCTTGCTGTTACAGAGATGCCAGCAGCATCCAGCAGGTCACCACGTTCAGTGCCATGTCTCATCTTTGGAGCTTTCATGAGAGCAGCTTGTGACCCTTTGGAAACTTTTCAGGAAAAAAAAAAATTTTTAAAAAAAGGGTAATTTCAGATCTTTCACTGAAACACCCTGGAGGTGTCTCAACACAACACTGTCCCTTGCTGGGGACCAGCAGCTGGTCACAGAGCTGCCCTAGGAAAGCCACAAAGGCCGACACGGGCATTGGTGGTGCTTTGGGAGAGGGTGGTGGTGTGGGCTAGCCTGAGCCTAGTTAGCCCAAATCTGTGGGGAGCGGGCAGATGTCCAGGAGCTGTAGGCAGCAGGGCTACACCCAAAGCGATACCAGGTTAGATGGAGCAAAGGGAGAGGAAAAGGTGAGGAGTAAAGTAGGACTGCACCTTCCTCCTTGATGTTGTGAACTTTCCCAGGGGCTCTGCAGGGTCCTTGCACCCTAGGGATGCTCGGCAGGACAACGGCTTGCTTCGGTAACCCTCCTCTCCGCAGGACCTCAATAATTTTCTTTTGCTTCACATTACCTGTCTGGCTTTTAACGTGAGCATCTCCACCAAGGCTCCATCCCTGGCATTTTGGCGGTAGGTCACAGGCAGGAGAGCAGGAGCCTGGCATGTCCCAAGGGATGTGCAAAGTAGCCACAGCTGGTTTGGGAGGGGGAAAGTATCGTACATTTAATAAACTCTTCAAGGAGAGGAAGAGGGCAGGAGCGGAGGGAGAAGGGGGATGTTTACAGGCAGAAATGGAGATCTGGAGGCCAGAGGGTTGGGATGAACCCAGCCACCATGAAGCTCAGCCAGGTTTGGGGCAAATTCTCACCGGAGGCTTTGGGTCACCACCACCTGCTTCTTCCTCCCTCATTTTTTGGCTTCATAAATGCCAAATCCTTTTCTAGGTGCTGTGGGCTGCGCCCTCCGACAGTGGGTCAGAGCAGAGCATCACCCCGACCCTGCTTGCCTAGCAGGTGGCTTGGGGTGGGCTGGGTTCATGTGCAGCCAAGGAAAGATTGACGCACAACATCCCCCCTAGGGATGCTTTGGCAGCGATGCTTGCCAAGGCCTCCGCTCCCCTTCAGAAATGCCCTCCCCGTGATTTTTTTTTTTTTTTTCAGGGCCAGGGGGGGGATTTTTGTACCTTGGTTGGCC